GCCCGGCCAAGCTTCATCTGTATTTACAGCCACTCCCCATTGCTGGCATCACCATGTGAGCTCCGCCTCCTGTCTGATCAACGACAGCATTAGATTCTCATAGGAGCACAAACCTACCGTAAACTGCACGTTCAAGGGATCTAGGTTGCATACTCCTCATGGGAATCTAATGCCCGATAATCTGAGATGGAGCCAAGGCGGTGTTGCTAGCTCTGGGGAGTGGCTGCAAGTACAGATTATCATTAGCAGAGAGGTTTGCACAATAAATGTCATGCTCTTGAATCATCCCCAAACCATCCCCTATCCCTAACCCACCCCGGTCCATGGAAAAATTGTCTTCCATGAAACCAGTCCCTGGTGCTAAAAAGGTTGGGGACCACTGTTCCAGGAGGCTGGAATCACAACCAGCTTCTGAGACCCACATTTCTACAGATAACCGCAGAGAGAGGAAGGAAATCCTGATCTTCCCAGGGGCTTTTTATTGATTTAATTTTAAGTAGCACATTGGTGCATTTTGGAATTAACTCTTTTTGCTTTCAAAGGGCTGCCCAATTTTTACGTAAAATGGCGGATCCGCAGTCCATCCAGGAATCGCAGAATCTGTCCATGTTTCTGGCCAACCATAACAAGATCACACAAGTAAGACTCGTGTCCTCGGGCTCAGGTGACAGGCTGTGCTGCCAGCTGGCGCTGCACCACGACACGGGTCTCTCGCTCTGTGTTTCAGTCTCTCCAGCAGCAGCTCGAAGTGATTTCTGGCTATGAAGAGCTCCTGGCAGACATCGTGAATCTGTGCGTGGATTACTACGAGAATAGGATGTACTTGACGCCAAGTGAGAAACACATGCTTCTCAAAGTACGTGTGCGCGTGACAACCAGTAGCACTGGCGGGGGACAGCCTTGCTGTGGTTATCAGGCTGTACCTTGTCTGGAGTCCTTGTGCCAGCCTTGTCTTGTCCTCATGCTGCCACGTGTGTGGACAGCGTCCCACCCCACATACGGCCTGCACGGCAGGTTCTGGACACATCGATGAGTGCCCTGGTGATCACACACCGACTCCAAGAGAAGGTGCTTCTCGGCCAAGAGGTCCTGGATCAAGGATTCTCTCAACATGAAGCTGCTTTTAACAGAAGTTACATAAGATTCTGCTTGTTAAAAATATGATTCCCAGGAATCAAATATGTCGTGTCACCATAATTAAAGTAGACTTTTGTTGGTTCATCATATTCTTTATCATTCTGTTCCAAATTGGGGAAGTTTTCGTCTGCGTTTCTCGTGGGAAGATGAGAAGGTAGTGATGCCATTCCCTTTGCTGTGCCCTCCACCTTCACACAGGGTGGTCTTGGGGGACCCAGTAGGTGGTCAGGGCTGGGGTGGCACTGTCCATAGAGCCGCTTATAATGGTGGAAATGTGTCTGCACTGGCTGGCGCAGGAACCCTGGCCACGAGCCCCTGTGGAGCACTAGAGTTATGCACATCGTCATACCATGTTAAGAATTTTTAGTTTACATACTTTGAATCTTAAATAGTTGTGTGTGGCCGCATGCTGGACGGTGCAGTTCTAGCAAAGCCCTGCTGTTCAGGTTAGGTTAGTGGAAGATTTGCTTTTTCAGCTTTTAGCAACTGGCCTGGAAGCCCAACCACCCTTTGTAACACTATTTCAGTGAGGAACAAAAAACAGACTTCAATGAGGGACAAAAAAATGTGTTCGAATCACCAAAGAAGCAGCCTAAAAATATATCTTTGTGATACATTTTGAATTGTGATTTCGAAGTTGTCAAATGTGACAGTGTATGTCCCACAGGTAATTAAATTTTCAAATCTGAGCTTTATTGCACCATGTGTGGCTTTTCAGGTCATGGGATTTGGTCTGTACCTGATGGATGGGAGCGTCAGTAACATCTATAAACTGGACGCCAAGAAAAGAATAAACTTATCAAAAATTGACAAGTACTTCAAGGTGAGTTACGTTTTTTTACATAAACTTTTTTCGCGAGACAGAGTCTCACTCTCTTACCTGGGCTAGCCTAGCTCACAGCAACCTCAGGCTCCTGGGCTCCAGTGATCCTCCTGCCTCAGCCTCCCGAGTAGCTGGGACTATAGGCATGCACCACTGTGCCTGGCTAATTTTTTCTATTTTTAGTTGTTTGGCTAATTTCTTTCTATTTATAGTGGAGATGGGTCTTGCTCTTGCTCAGGCTGATTTCGAACTCCTGAGCTCAAGCAGTCCTCCTGCCTCGGCCTCCCAGAGTGCTAGGATTACAGGCGTAAGCCACTGCACCCGGCCTACATAAACTTTTTATTGATGTATGCAGTTTGGATTTTTAGGAAGTAAACACCGATATGACCACAATCCCTCTGAGGAAATACCGAGGCAGGAGGGGGGAGTTGGGGGCCTACTCATTTTCTCATCTGCAAGGGTGACTGCGTGCATTCTCTCTCCTACCCTATGCTGGCTGAGCCTGGGTTGAGTTTATGTAAATAGAAGTGTGCCATTTGTACCCTCTTGCATCTGGCTGCTCTCACTCAGCCTCTTGTTGACGAGCTGCATCCCTGCGGGAGGGAGCCTGTGACTACAGTGCTCAGGTCTTCACTGCGGTGCAGCATTCCATTTCATGGTTACTCGCAACTTACTTATGCGTTCTGTTGTTGATGGGCGCTTGGTTGCTCCTGGTTTCCGTCCTGCACAAACAGTGGCTCTGATGAGCGCCCTGCATTGCTGGTGGTTATGGCCTAAGATTTTCCAGCACGCCCGTCCTGATTTGCATTCCCACCAGCAGTGAGTGAGTGGTCTTGTTGTTCCACATCCTCACCAGGACTTGGCATTGTCTTTTTTGGGGAGAAGGGACATCCTGAAGGTTGTATATGTCATTGTGATTTTTTTTTTCTTTTTTTAGGTCTTTAAAAAACTTTATTGAGTTATTGAGGTATAATGTATATACAATTATTGCTTCCATTTGCAAGGTAAAATGATACGATTTGACAGATGTATAATCCCTGTGCAACTTTTACTACAGTCAGTATATGTAACTTTTCTTTCACTTATAAATGTTCCCTGAGCCACTTTGCATATAACCCGCCTTCTGCCCTTGGCCCCATGCAACCACTCATTTGTTCTCTGTCAGTATATATTAGTTTGCATTTTCTAGAATTTTATATGTGTGGAATCATACGGTGTGTCTGGCTTCTTTCACTCAGCATGATGACTTTGAAATTCAACCACACTGTTGCATGTATTAGTACTTCATTCCTCTTTGTTTGTTGTATATTATTCCATTAGTATGGATATACCACATTTTGTTTATCCTTTGATCTACTGATGAATATTTGTTTTTCCCCCCCAGTTTTGAGATTGCTATAGACAGGATATTTTGTCTCTCCAAAATTCATATGTTGAAAACTAATTCTCAATACGATGGTGTTAGGAGGTAAGGCCTTTGGGATATAATTAGGTCATGAGGGTGGAACTCTCATGAATAGGAGTAGTGTCCTTACAGAAATGCCTCAGGGAGTTCCTCTGCCCCTTTGGCCAGGTGCAGTGACAAAGAGAAGACAGCCAGGAAGTGGGCCTTCCCAGTAACTGAATCTGCCTATGCCTTGATCTTGGAAAAAAATAAATGAAACTATTCTAAAAAATAAAGTATTTTTTTAAGAAAGACAATTGTGAACAATTGAAACATAAACTAAAAAGGGTTCCCTTTCATAATAGAAACATGAAATACCCAGGGCTAACCCTAATAGGAAATGAGCAAGCCCGATTAGATGAAATAAAACTTCACTGGATGAAATGAAACATTTTAATAACTAAAGATGTATAGTATTTGTAGAAAACTGAATATTATTAACACGTTACTTTCCTAAACTATATAGTGTTAATGCAAACCTACATGGAGTTTATTCACTGCTGGTGAAAATGTAAAATGGTAGAACTATTTAATACTGTGGCAGTTTCTTAAAAGTTAAATATACACTTATTTTTGGACCTAGCCCCTCCCCTCCT